GATCGTGGGACCTCCTTCGCTATCGCGAAGAACAAACTCATCAGCCTCTCAAAATACCCTACGCATTCGTGAAACATCACCTGCGAACGCAATGAGCACATGAACCTGCACTACGCGAACTCGACAAGAACAATGCGAACGCGAAGAAGAAACTTCTGCCCCTAGCTTCTCAACTCACCACTACGCGAACGCGGTCTGAATCATGCGAATGCGATGCCCAATCTCCAGAAAACTACGCGAACGCGTAATTCTACTCGCGAACGTGAATAAGGAATACTTAGCTCCAAATTTTTCCCTTACGCGATCGCATCCCTCAATCCGCGATCGCGAAGAACACTGGGTGCACAAGACACTAGCAGAACCAACACTGAGAACATGAAGAGAAATATCCCGAAATCGATCCGAAATACGCCCGAGCCCCTCGAGACCACGTCTGAACATTCCAACAAGTCCCATAACATAATACGGACCTACTCGAGGCCTCAACTCACACATAACAACATCGAAACAACGAATCGCACCTCAATTCAAACTTGATGAACTTTGAATTTTTCAACTTCCAAAACTCGTGCCGAAACAAATCAACCCGGAATGAACTCCAATTTTTCACACAAGTCCAAAATGACATAACGAAGCTATTCCAATTCCCGGACCACAATCCGAATTCGATATCATCAAATTCAACTCCTTGTCAAAATTATGAATTTTCCAAACCTTCAAATTTCCAACTTTCACCAATTTGTGCCTAAACCTTCTAGAAATATCCAAATGCAAATTCGGGCATACGCCCAAGTCCTAAATCACCATGTGGACCTAACAGAACCATTAAAACTCCAATCGAGGTCCAATACTAAAAAGCCAAACTTGATTAGCTCTTCTAATTTAAGGCTTCCTAGTTGAGAATCATTCTTCTAAATCTATTCTAAATACCTGAAAACCAAAACCGGCGATTCACACAAGTCATAATACATCATACAAAGATACTCATCCCCGTAAATAACCGATCGAAATGCAAATGCTCGAAACGACTGATCGGGTCATTACAGCGGTGAAGGCAACCAGGATGGGGAAAATAATTATTATGGTATTATTAAAGAGATTATAGAATTATCATATTCAGGTGGGCCAAATAAGAAGATCATACTTTTTAGATGCAAGTGGTTTGACCCAACACCTAGAAGAGGTACAAATGTACACTCGCAGCACAACATAATTGAGGTTAATAAAACGAGGGAGTATGATCGCTATGATCCTTTTATAATTGCAAAAAAAGATAGGCAAGTAAATTATGCTCCATATCCATTATAGAGGGATAAGGCTGATTGGTTGGTTGTAATCAAAACTAAGCCTGTTGGTAAGGTGGAAGTTGAGAATGTGCTAGATGTTGCTTACCAAAATGATACCTCAAGTGTTAACCAAATGGTGGATGATCAGTTAGAAAATGACTTGGAGCATCCTCAACGCATATTAGAAGAAGTTCATATGGAGGAAGTAACAATCATAGAAAATGAGGACGAAGAATCACCTGATGAAAATGAAATAAGTGAAGAGGAAGAATTTCCGGACGAGGAAGGATACTTCGAAGACGACTAGCATGTAAGTTTTTTCAAGCGCTCTCAACTTATATAGATTTATATTCTCAATTCTAACATTTTCTTTAATTTATGCAGATGACCAGTAGGGGTCAAGGTAGGCCTAGGAAGGATAAGAGGCCTATTGATCATGAGGATAATGGCACACCCTCGCTTCCTTCCACTCTACACTTGCATCCCTCCATTGCTGATGAGCGGCAATAATCTTCTAAGCACACATCTTTTCCACAACACCCATCTACTTATTAGACTACCTACCATCCTCCCTCCCAGCAATATTATTACCATTATCCACCATAGGGTTATACCCCGCTTCCTCCATATGATCCTGCATATAGTTACATGGGTCCACCGAGTCAGCAGTCATAGGGCCATGTGGTGATACGCCTGTTATCTGCAATATTTGCTTCACCATCGGTTGGATCACATCTATCTAGGTTTCAGCCACCCGGATCGCAGCAGTGGTCTGGATCGCAATAGGGGTCTAGATCGCATCCATCTCCATCAGTGACCCCGTCTCCCTCTCCACGGAGTTCGTCTCCTAGCATTTCTAGACTTCGCTTTTGGGATAGTAGCGCTGAGCCAGATGCCTCCCCTTTTACAGACGATTCAGATTCATCGGAGGATGATGATCCAGAGGAAGTGCAGGATGATCGTTATCATAGGATGATCATTAGGCCTGAGGGCAATGGGCATGATTTATTTATTACTTCTTTGTTTTTGCTGAATTATAATAGCTAGTCTTGTTTATTTAATGTAATTGCTATGTTGCAGGTTCATCCCAATCATCAGACTACAAAGATAATCACTGAAGCTCTTGGCTGGTTGTATGATGCACCCTATGCGACATAGAGTGAATTTCCACCGGAGCTCATGGAGCAAATTTTCAACCAACTTAAGGTTTTAATACAATTCTTATCTATTTATTATATTAACTATATTTTCATCTAACGTTACACACTTCATTTGCAGACTAAGTGTGCCTGGGAGGACCGGCATAACAGTGCCATTCCTGCAAATTTTGAGTTCAAATGCAGTAGACTATCTGATTCCCTCTGTTCTGCTCGGAGGAAGAGCAATAAGCCTTCATGGGTTCTACCGCATTTATGGGAGGATTTGCTGAGGCAGTGGACCACTGAAAAAATTGAGAAGAGGAGTGAATAGGGAAAGAAGGCCCGAGCATCTGAGAAGGGTGACTCCTTGCACAAAGTGGGTGCAAGGAGCATGGGGACTGCTAGGAGAATTAAAATATTTAAATCTATTTCTATCGAACTATATTGATATATTTTAATTTAGTTAACATGTTTTTATCATATTTGTGGGAGGAAGATGACTGATGATGAGTTCTTCATGGAGACTCACATCCAGAAGAAGAAGGCACCGACAGATCCAAGTAGATGGGTCGAGGACCGGGCATAGACTACATATGTAAGTTTCATAACTACTATAACTTGAAATTAATATTTATAATATTATATAGTTAATAATTTCTGTCTTCTAAATAAAAGGTCACTACAAGACTACTGTGAAGGAGTACACTCAGAGCTTGCCACTGAATGAGTAAGGTGAGCGACCTTCCTTTTCAGACAAAGAAGCGCAGAAGAAATGGTTGGATGTTGTCGGTGGTCCTAAAAAGGGGATAGCATATGACCTTCCAAAGAGATCATTTCGGTGCTACAGGTCTGGATTGCAAGGTATAGGGACTTCCGTCCAGGGTGAGGCAATTGATAGGTCGACTCTCTCGGTTATGGAGAAAAAGATCGCAAAGCTGTCAACAGAGCTTGAAGAGACAAAGTCTAGAGAAGAAAAGAGTGATAAACACTTTGATACCCTTCAAGGTCAGCTAGAAAAGAGGGATCAACAATTTAATATCCTTCAAGGCTAGCTGACCAATCTTCTTGCTAGTGGTGCTTTCCCGATTCTCTGATTTCGTGAGTCTTCCCCAAATGCTAATACTTCTCGTCGTGATCCTTCGAACCATGCCGACGATGAAGCTTCTAGTAGTGGAGATGGAGATGGAGATGATGTAGTACAAAACACTCATTAAATGATGTTTAAACTTTTAACTTCTGAAACGTTTTGTTGTTGGATATTTTGGAACTCTATAAATATTGTTAATATAGTTTTAATAGTTGTTATTGGTTGAATGACAGCAATGTAATGCTGCATTATAGGTGATTGGTTGTTGGCAGGTGGTGCAGCTGTAAAACAGATGTAGTCAGCCAAAAACATATCCAGAAAATCGAGCGCCTACCGACCGAAGTCGGTCGAAAATGTTCCATTGAATTTCCCAGAAATTTAAATTTACCGACAGACTTCGGTCGGAATTTTGATTTTTGATTTTAAATATTTTAATAATACCGACCGTCTTTCGGTCGGAATTTTTTATTTTAAAATTTAAATATTTTAATAATACCGACCGATTGCGGTAGAAAACAAACAATTTAAAAAAAAAAGAATAACTAAAATCCGACCGATGTCGATCGTTAATTTAAAAATAATTAAAAATTATTTTCAGGAATACTGACCGATGTCAACGCGCGTTAAAAAATAACCGACCGACTTCAGTCGGAAATATCGACCATCTACGGTCACCTCGCATAAGCGACTATTGTTTATTCGACGAATTAAAAACGATCTGAAGTCGGTCAGTTTTTGTTCGATTCCAATCGATTTTTCTAGACGCTTTTTGACAGATTTCTAATAGTGAAATTCCAATATTTGGAAATAAGAGTAGGTTATATAAGAAAATAACGAAGTCTTTTTCAATTTCAGCTGATCTCTAGGTGTGCTTGACTACCAATCAACAACTTCAAGCAAACCTTTGTCTTTTTCATGATTTTGCCCATAAATTAAGGCCCTGATGACCAAAAGAAATTTTATTAATGTATTTATAGGGTTTGTAATTTTTTTTTGATTCCCCTTTGTTGGAGCTATTGTTCCATTGGTGACTCGGACCCATAATACAACATCAAACAATGCATGTAATCAAATCTTAAAGAACTAAGAAAACCCGATAAAAAATAGTTGGAAAAAAGAAGATGCAAATAGAAATCACCACACCAAAGAATTTTCTAAATATTAGTAATAAAATGGAGATTATTAATATTTCGAAGAACTCGTATCTTGGTTTGGGTATAAAGCATTTCCACCTTAAGAAGTTCCATGAAAGCTCCAACAGAACGATTTGCAATAAACAAAAACACCACAAGAATCAACTTTTGGGCTTTCCAATCTTCTTTCAACTTTTTCCTAGCTTTTCAATCTTCTTTCCTTCAACATTTCATTAATTAGCACGTTCCTAATTACTTGTCAAAAAGGAAAAGCACCGTTTCGTTTTTAATTTAATCATCCATTAGCTGCATTTCAAGATTCTATTCCCATCTTAATCCCCTATTCCAAGAGATATATAAAAATCAAAACAGGTGAAAAGGGAGCTATCTACAATCAATTATCTTTGATCAATTCCCAATAATCCCAATTCTTAGAAATTAACATGGCTACTTCTGCTGAATCAAATATGGCAATTGCCAAAACCATAATATCAGCAGTTGGCTCTGCTGCTGCAATGGCAATGGTGGCACATAACCTCCCACCAGAAGTTCAAGACTATCTTTTTTTCGGCATAAGAAACCTCTTTATTAAATTCTCAAATCAGCTAACAATAGTAATTGATGAATTTGATGGCATGGTGAGTAACGAAGTATACGAATCAGCGCAAATTTACTTAGGCTCCAAGCTCTCTCCTAACACACGTCGCTTCAAAATCAGCAAACCTGAGAAGGAGAAGAATTTCAATATGAGCATGGAACGTAACGAGGAAGTTACTGATTGTTTCAAGGGTCAGAAATTCAAGTGGATATGGATTTGCAGGCAAGTTCAGTCAAAAGATTATTTCTATAATCCACGTGACATGAACTCCACTCTAAAATCCGAGGTTCGATCCTATGAACTCACGTTTAACCGAAAAAACAAGGACTTTGTCCTCGAATGTTACTTGCCCTATATTATTAACGAAGCAAAATTGCGAAAACAAGAAATCAGGACACTAAAGATCCACACTGTTGATTATGAGAATATGCATGACCTAAGTGCAGTATGGACGCCGGTGAATCTTGATCATCCTGCTACGTTTGAGACTCTGGCAATGGATGTGGAACAAAAGGAAAGAATTGTGAAGGATTTGGACAGGTTTGTGAAGAGGAAAGAGTATTACAGGAAAGTTGGGAAAGCATGGAAAAGAGGGTATTTGTTGTATGGTCCACCAGGTACTGGTAAATCTAGTTTGATTGCTGCTATGGCTAATTATTTGAACTTTGATATATATGATTTGGAGTTGACTGAGGTGAAGAAGAATACGGACTTGCGGCGATTGCTGGTCGCCACTGCTAATAAGTCCATATTGGTGGTCGAGGATATTGATGCTACCATTGATTTGCAAGAAAAGTTGTCCAGCCGTGTAGCGGCTCCTTCTAATGAGTCTCATGAGGAAGAAAGCAAGGTTAGAATCTTTTAAAAAAAATCCACTTTTACATTTTCTAAATGTTGAAAGAATTTCAGCTTTTAGAGAGAACTCACTTTTATTCAGCTAACTAGTAAAATTTTCCGCGCTTCGCGCAGTTGTAAAAGACATTACTCAATTTTTAGTGTAAAGTTTATATAAACAGAAAGATAAAAATCTTCATATGTATGCCTATAAAAAAAATTTACATATGGTGAAATCAGAAGTATAATATTTTTATTATAATTGAAACCTTCATGAACTATAGTTTTCATTAGTAGATTTTCTTCAAGAACGGGAAAAAAAAGAATTGGTGAGGATAAGAGAAAAGAAATTAATGCTATAGTAAAACTTGGGCGAACAAACTTGAAATGTTATTGTCTTTTTTCTTCTATACTCCCTCTTTATATATGCGTGTATGTCGTTATGGACACAATATTGATTCCTAGCGGTACTAATCTTCTTATACAGTCAAACCTATTTTCTTGATAATGAAAAACAATATTAAAGGTAAGTTATTTTCCTCTTAACTAAAAATTCAATCTTTATTCTAACAGGAAGCCTACCCATCTCTCTTGTCCTCTTTCATTCATGTTACAATTCTCGTATTAGGAAAACTATATAATTCTAGATTATATAATAATTTTGTATTTTTATGATATTATAAAATAAGCTCATATATATATATATATATATATATATATATATATATATTCAAACTACCCATTTAAATTATGACACAACTCTTGGAACCCTAAATTAGGAAAATTTAAGATTTAAGTTCTTTTGTAATCATATATAAGATCAACCTGAATATTCGAAAATATAAATTCGCTTCTTCAAGATAATGAAATCACATTGTGTCAACTACATTTTTATTAAACAATAAAGTCAGAAATTTATGAAACTGCAAAAGAGTATAAATTTATCCTCAGATTTGACAATGGTGGAATGATTAGATGAAATTGTTCCTTCAATATAACTGTAGAATAAATGAAGATCGACAATGCTTTTGAGATGTATATCCACCATCTTGAAGAATAAACTTCTTTATTTTTTATAAAATTCAAAAGAGGATCACATTTGTCTATTAGAGCCTCCTTGTTGTGTTGTATCAACCTGCTAACTTCTTCATAGGGTGAACCTGTAGTGAAGGTCAAACAAAGAACGTAGGCGTTAGGAGATTTGCACATAATATTGGAGAAGTCAGAATCGTTGTTTGGAATTCCCTTCATATAGCTATTGCTGCCATCGCCAGAATTGTTGTTTGGAATAATTCTCTTCATATAGCTATTGCTGCCATCGCCAGAATCGTTGTTTGGAATAATTCTCTTCATATAGCTATTGCTGTTTGGAATTTCCTTCATATAGCTATTGCTGTCATCCCGTATCTCCGTATTTTCAGTCTCTTCACTGCATATCATAATATAGTTTGCAAGATGGCCATTAGTTTCATTCATTTAGTACCAAAAACTGAAAAGTTTGTGAATGTCTTAAAAGGAATATTATGGATAGTTATTGAAAGTAATAATTACCGAACAAAACGGCTGTCTATCTATTCCGTTTGTGAATGAAAGATGCGTCGCTTTGTTACCTAACTATTACAACTCTTTAATGCGGTCACAACTCTTCATAGTCTTTTTTATATATATAAAAATAATAAATAAACAGTTGAAAAGAGGAAAAGAAGCAAAGAATGAACAAAAAGGTCAAAAAAAAGAGAAAAAAGATAAATAGGATCCTTGGCTTAAGAGAGGTACCACCTCACTTTCCTATTGCCCTCTTTTATATATATATA